ACTAGCCGAAACCATAGTCACTGCAGTCGCCTCAAGCACTCCATGACAATCCTCCACTGAAAAGCCCCGCCCACGGACGACAATCGGCAACGGAGTGTGTGTAGTGCCTATCAGTCGATGACTGAATGGTTACCCTGTTTCAACAGGGTGTTGACCCAGGCTTCGTGCAGGGCTGCCCTCACTCTTCTGAGATGCAACGTCTGTATGCATATGCAATGCCAGACTTCAGCAAACCACGGCCCCTGCGGCCTGGTAGGCGCTGGAACTTCCTCTCGGTTCTCGTTCCCTCCCATTGGATTTCAAGCCTCACCCCTGGTGTCCGAGCAGCTAGGCGGTCACTAGACGGTGAGGGGGAGAGAGTGAGGTCGACCCTCGGCGCGCTTCTCTCCTCACTACAACAAATAGGAATGCGCCTGAATCTATCACCGTGCGCTAAAAGCCATGGCTTGGAGGGTTTGCCAACTGCAGGAAAACTCAGGCCACCTACGTTGCTGCTCCTCTACTACGCGTGTGTTTGTGTGTGCGTATGCGAGGAGCTGGAGGATTGAGAGTCAGGCTGTAATGGCTCCTTCTTAATGTGGTCTTTATGGCGCTCCCATACACGCGGGAGCCTTCCTAGTGACATCAGGTTCCGGTGGGGGAGTGGTGAAATAGTGGGGTATATTCTCCGCAAGTCTATCTTCAGTATAATCCCACGAGAGTCATCGCGTTGCTTCAGCCTGCTAAAGCTCGTGGTGGACATTGTCGAGAGCGACGGTCGAACTGTCGCGTGGAAACAGTCAACCAGAACCGACATGCGTCGTGGGCTTGCATACTGTCGAGTGCATAACCATTATAAAGATATAGTAAGAAGTTAATAGAAAGACTTGCCTCATAAAATCACAAAAGGAGGCTTTGCGTTGGCACACTTCGACTGCTTTTGGACTCATTTCTTCTTCCACAATTCGGAGAAGGTTTCTCACGAACCAATCCTTATCCTTCAAATCGGCCAACTTATCGGCAAGAGTTCTGGTGACCTCATTTTTCCAAAGGGTCAGGAGTACATCACCATCCTTGTAGACCTTTGCGTGCCAAAAAGAAGTAATATGTGGCTGGTTTGGAGTTAAAACTTGTAAGTAGTTCTTTACTCAGTCTGAGGCATCCTGCATTAGCAGGGGTTTGAGCAAAAATTGTATGGCAGCCCCTAGGTTTCAGGTTGTTTCGATACTACTTAGACTCTTCTCTGATTAAAATAAGTAAGTCTCAGCATTTAAGCGTAAAAGGATCAAGTTTCTCTACAATTTGGTGGACACACATGGATCCTAAACTGCCCAACGGGCGAACCTACAGTCAAATGTTTGTCTGTTGATTTATTTCATTCACAATTTTAGAAAAAAAATTAATTTAAAGAAAGATAGAGTAAAACCTTATAAGCATTTATATATTTACAGGTATCGTGCAAGACCAAGAGTTGGAGCAGAAGCTGAGAAAATATGCACTCAGGCAACTCCCGCAAAACTACTAAGAATTTATAAACGTCCAATTGGCACTAGAACAACGGTATGATGGTATGGCTTTTTTACATTTCAGTTCAGTTGGATTACAGTTTCGACCGGAAACCAGTAGAAAATTGTGTCCGTCAACTTTCCACTGCGTTTGTGCTAGCGGAACCGCCCATCAATCTCAGTCTTTCTCCGAAGTCACCCTACCTACACGTTGGCAACGTCGTTAAGATCCCAAGTAATCAGTTGATCGCCTGCATCGATCTATTTTTCTGCACATTTATGTTACTTCTTGCCAATACAAGTGAGCATGCGAGTCCCAGGAAGTAATTGAGAAGAAGACGACTCAATCGCTGGGACAAGCATAAATCTTAAGTCTAGAAACAAGTGCAACGATTTGCCCAATCCATATTCGGTGCTGGGACTCAATTTGGCCAAAGCAAGTCGCCACTTGGGGAACAGACGGGCCACCGCGTCCTGTTACTTCAACACCAGAGAACCAGATGGCCGAGCAATCATCACGCCCGAGTCCACCACGCGGGATGAAAGTTCAGCAAGTCAAAGCCCGCATGCCGGTCAACAAACTATAAACGCACAAGAGGGCGATTACCGTTAATTGTCGTTGTATGTTTGCGGTAATGCCTGCATCCTATAAATACGGCAAATTCCTTTGCATTTGTTACCCATATCTGCTAATACTTCCTGCTTATGCCCCTGATGATGAATCCGCGACGGATCTCGAAATGGCAGGCGAATAAAAGTACTGCCCCAGCGATCGAGTCGTCTTCTCTATGTTATCTCTCACAGCCTTCTAATTGAGTCTTTGACACGTGATTCGCTTAACTACTTAAGCTAGTCAAGCTAAACATGTCTCGATTTGAAGAGATCGGCCAACGCTTTGTATTACAATTCGGGCACTACAGCGAAAGGAAGGGAAGCAAAGGGATGACAGGCGCCCCCCCCCCTCCCCCAACCTCGTTAC